TTAAGGACGATCCCTTACATAAAAGTCAATATAGTTACTTAATCTATTTGTTTTGACGTCACACCTAATGTTGTTAATAGTTATATGTATTATGGTTGAGTTGATGTTGTCAAATAGAAATAAAAATAAATAATTAAATTCTTTTGGTGCTAATTTGATGCTGCTATTGAAATGCTTATTTATTATATTACTGGAGAAGGTCTTAAATGACTAAAATTTTAGGTCAAGTATAAAATTTTTTTAATGTTTTTTTTTTTTTTAATAAACTTCAATAAAGGAGGGCTTTACAACTTAAATGGTAGTCATAAAGTTTTTCCCATAAACTGTTGTTTTAAAGAGCGCGTTAATAAGACTGACCAAAAAATGTTAAAAAACTTCAAAAAAACATTTTTTTTTTTTAAATAATAGACTGCCTGCGCAAACCAACCCTCAGTCTATGTAGCAGCACTCGCTTGCGAGTCAGGCTATTTGTCAGTCAATGTAGCAGCACTCCCTTGCGAGTCAGGCTATTTGTCAGTCAATGTAGCAGCACTCCCTTGCGAGTCAGGCCATAAGATAGTCGATGTAGCAACACTTACGCTTGTTTTAAAAATGTTTTTTAATAAAACAAAAACAAAAACACCACTAGTTAGAAAAAAACTTTCTAGTCATTATTATTGCGGTTTTTATTAAAAAACAATAAAATTTTATGTACTTCAGCATTTAATTAATTGCTTTGACATTTCGACGACAATATAATGCAGCTTAAGAGACAACGTAAAAAAATTGTAGTCGAAAGAGACTTTATTTTACCATAAAAGTCTCTCGACTACACTATAAGGATATATATATATATATATATATATATATATATATATATATATATATATATATATATATATATATATATATATAATATATATATATATATATATATATATATATATATATATATATATATATACAATTCGACGCTTATGTTTTTGTTTACTGAAAGCTTTTTAGTTTTGTATGATTGGTATTTGTCCAAGCTTTTGTTACAGTACTTTTAGTTACAACAAATGAAAGCAAAGAATGAAACTTTAATGATTTAAAATTAAGAAATGGTATTTTTCAATTTATTTTGGTAAAATCATTATTATATCTATCTATCATTCTAATAGTTTTTGAAATTTTCAAGACTGCTTACATGAAAATTCCATCGTAAATTTTCATCCAACTCTACGCCTAAAAAGTTTACTGAAGATTTCCTTTCAATAATAGTTTTGTTTATGATAAGATTTGGTAATTGCAATGAGAAATTTATGAAATAATATAAATTTAGTTTTGTCAGCATTCAGAGAAAGTTTGTTACTTAAAAACCACTCATTAACTTTTTCTAATTATTCATCAACATGTTTAAAAAGTATTTTGATATCTTTGTGCGATCAAAGTAGATTGGAATCATCAGCAAATTGAATTAAAATTATAAGGTTTGATGATAAGTATAGATCATTTATGTACAGCAGAATCAATAATGGCCCTAAAATAGAACCCTGAGGAAACCCACAAGTTATTGAGTATTTACCAGTTAATTTTTGAATCATAGAATATGAATTGTTTTCTGTTTGTTAGGTAGTCTTTAAAACAAAGTAAATTTTTGTTTCTAATGCCATAGTTTTCAAGTATTGTTAGCAGTATATCAAGGTTAACCGTTTCAAAGGCTTTGGACAGATCCATGAAAACTCCTAATGTAAAATAATTGTTGTTTAGAGCGTCATATATCTCGTTGACTAACTTGACAATGGCGTGTTCAGTTGAATGCATATTTTTGAAACCGAACTGTTTTTTATTCAGCATGTAGTTCTTTGTTAGATAATCGTTGAGTCTATTGTGCATTATGCGCTCAAGTATTTAAAAAAAAAAGGCAAAATATAATATGGTCTATAGTTTGAAATAATTTGTTTAGTTTTTGAGGATTTAAGTAGACTTACGGACATCCACGGACTTAGAAGAGACTTGGTTTTTATGACAAACTTTTTTTCATGAAATGCTTTTTCGTATAATTTGCAGAACTGTTTAAGAAATAAATTGAATGCATTATTAAGATTTTGCGACTCTAGAGTAAGATCCCAGTTGACGTTATTTTTGAAAAGATTTTTAAATTTTTTAATTAATTTTTATTGATCAGTTGCCTATAGATAGTCGTTTAGATAGATTTCCGCTAAGTAGTCAATTAGAAACTAAAAAAGAGAGAAAATGATCAGAGAGGTCACATTTGACCAGTACGAAGCTGGTCACAAAAGTTATTCGTTATTATGTTATCAAGAAGTGTGGTGAATTTTTGGTTTTTCTTGTCGGCATTTTATATTGTTGGAATAAGTTTATTTTGGAATAAAGAGTTTAAGAAATGTTTAACACTTTTGTTTGATGTATGATTTAATAAATTAATGTTTAGGTCCCCCGCAATGTAAACATGTTTGCGCATTTTATTCACTTTGGTTAAGAATGTTTTAAAATGATTTTTAAAACTTTTTAAAATTACCATATGGTTTTTTATATATCTTATTAATAACTATGTTTTTTGTTTTGTAAGCTAATCAATTCAATGCATAACGACTCACAATCTGCTTCATTTACGCAAAGATCATTAAGTAAAAAAAAGTTAATAGAATTGTGAGCATAAATACTCACGCCTCCACCTGTTTTAAATTCTGGTTGATGAACTGAAACGTAGTTTTTAGTTCAAATTTTGAATTTTTTTCATCATTTTTGCACCAAGTTTCCGTAATGGAAATTATTTTAAAGGCGTATTTAAGTGCATCTTATAATATTTTTAAATTTTTAAAATTTTTATTGAGACTTCTGATATCAATATTCAAAATTGAGAATCTATCTTTATCTTGTTGAAGAAGTTGTACACATTCTGGCATTGTGTAGTATTTACTTTCTAATTTCTTTTTAAATTTAAATAATCAGTGTTCGCTTCATTATCAAAAAGGCCATAATTTTGATCAGAAAATATAATAATGAAATTCCCTGCCATTTTAAATAAATATTTTAAAATAAGAAATTAAAAATGGGGAAGAAAAAAAAAGATAAATAACCTGAAGTTAGAAGTATTTAGGTGGTAGTTTTTTTGAATTGCTTGCTTTAGGTCTCCAGTCCGGATAATCAATTTGCCGTAAGAGACTACTGCATATTTACTAGACTCTCGTTCTTGTTTTACTTTTTCTTTCAGCTTCTTATATTATATAAAGAAGCAGCACAAAAATCTTTATTTATGAAAATATTTTTTTCTTTTAGTTGGTAAGCTTTTTTTATAATATCTACTTTATCTTTGTAGTCTAACGATTTTAACACAATTGTTCAATTCTTTCTACCATCTTTTTTATCAAATCATTCAGCTTGTTCAGTTAGGCCACTAGCTATTGTATCTAGGGCCGCTTTCTGAAAATTTGGTTTTACTCAATAATAAATTGACAACAAAAACAGACACTTTGGTTCAAAATTTGTTTTTAATTATTTTACATGTATATATATATATATATATATATATATATATATATATATATATATATATATATATATATATATATATATTATATATATATATATATATATATATATATATATATATATATATATATATATGTATATATATATATATATATATATATATATATATATAACATATATATATATATATATATATATATATATATATATATATATATATATATATATATATATATATATACTATATATATATATATATATATATATATATATATATATATATATATATATATATATATATATATATATATATATATATATATATATATATATATATAGAGAGAGAGAGAGAGAGAGAGAGAGAGAGAGAGAGAGAGAGAATCACTGGCCTCGAGCTTTAATTTTTTGCGCACTATTAAATCTTTGCGCTAGGGTCATTTGCCCCTTGTACTCCCCTTCGTTACTGTATAATTTTTATATTATTTAATATACCAGCACTTTATATGAGTTCGAACTATACCTCGTTCATACTGACGATAAAGTACCTTTTGTTTTAAAAACCTATTAAATTGTTTAACTTTAATTTGTAATAAGCAGTATAAAACAACAATACTTTGAGTTTGTTTTGTCAATATAAAAAGCTAGTGTTAATATAAAACAATTCTTAACTTTTAAGTTAAAAACATTTAAAACATAAAAACATCACCATGCATAAAACGCATTCAAAATAAAACGTGTTTTATCGTCAGTATTGAAGGAGTATAATATTGAATAATTTAAATTTATTCTATCTTTTTTCTATTATATTTTTTATATTAGATTATATTAATTTGATATAACGAAGAAAAATAAAACTTATCGCGTTTTACCTGATTTTAAACAATACTTTTTTTTACTTGTACATGTATTACAATTAAAATCTTGTAAAACATTAAATAATAAAAAGTCTATTGTAATGTGTTTTTATTTTGCGCCTGTTGTATTAGTTTATATATGAAGTTTTGTATTGCGGGTACTGACGATGACGAGCCTATAAGCAGTGACGCAAGTATTTACATTTATTAACTAAAAACATTTAAATAATTGAAGTAATTTTAGTTTAAATCCGCTAAAAACCACATCCATAACAAATGAGATTTTTTGGTTGTCTTTTATCTACTAAAATACTTTTAAAAATTAAAATCCATTAAAATTAATGTTAAAAATGGTTTTTAAAACAAAATAATTATTTTGTTTTAAAAACCATCTAATCTGGTGGACATGGGTCGTCCGTCATACGTCCGGACGATGCGTGCTCACTGGGAAAACCCTACGTGTAGAATTCAGTTATGAAATTTTGTATAAAGTTAGTAAAAAAAAAAAAAATATGATTTGCGAAACAATAATCTAAATTATTATTTTGAAAACCGGATACGGCTCTTGATATGTATATTCAACACTATTTCTAAACTCGTTAACATTAATATTTTTTACATAAAAATATCTTTAACATAGATTGGAAAAACAAACTTGGCGCTTGGTTTCAGCTACATTTCTTCAATAGTTAAAAAGTTTAAAAAAATAATGCTGTTTATTCTCTCTTTAATCTAATAATAAGAAAATCTACGGAAAAAAAAAAGGTAAAAAAAAATCTTTTTACAAATTATTTAAACTGATATTGTCACGATGACTAAAATAAAATACTAAATATTAGACACAGAATTGTTTAGATTTATCAAAACTAGCTGCACGTATTTTGAAAAATCGAAACACGTTTTCTACCCAAACCGTTTCTTCAAATACGTCGACTTGTTAATAAATTCTTTATTGTACTGAAAATTCAGATTTCTTAACATGTGTTAATATTTAATTTAGCAAATTCTTTATTTTTCATTCCAAACGAATTGAAAACAAGGGTTCTATAAAATTAAAAAAAAAAAAATAAAAAAATAAACAAGAAGAAAAAAGTTTTGAAAGTTTTAAAGAAAACATGGTAATTCTATTTTTTATTACTTATTATATTTTATTATATAACTTATTAAAGTTATTATTTTAATTACTTATAAAATATATTTAAAGCAATTTAAATTATTTTATTTATTTCTCAAGTTTATTGTATTGTTGAACAAACTGTCTATACTGTAACTGTCTAACTGTCTAATATATATTATAACAATAATAATATTAATTTTATTACAGTCATATAAAAATAACGATTTTTAAACAAGTTTTCAGGGTTTGTTGCTTGCTTCTAATTATTATGAAGTCTATTATTACTAAAAAAACTTTTAGAATAATTTATACTTTTTTTTTTATAATTAATAATCTTTTAAAAAAATTAAAAAAAATTATTTTGTTAGCCTTTAACCACGCCAAGTAGCCTAAATTTATAGTCCAATGAAAGCAAACTTTCTGAGGTGAACTAAACAGTAATGCGATAACAATTTAGACTTCTGGAGATGGAGTGTCAAACTCGTGGTTTAGATTGTTTCTTACGGGTAGTCTACTTGTGTCAATTAATGGGGCAAATTTAAACTTAAATTGATGCACTAGTTGGACTTTCTAAATGATTTGTTCTTGGCCACTACTGTTTCTTATTCATACCAATGATTTATCTTAAGCCTACAACGAAGCCTTTTACTTCAGCTTTTTAGTTAGGTAAACGTTTTCTAATTTTACCCATAGTAAAAATATTTCAATTGGTTAGTTAAACACTTCACACAACATAAACAAATTACTGCAATGTATAAAACTGTCAAACAAAAATGCCGGGTAAAAAGACACAGAAACTATTCCGCAACACACGCACTCCTTTCTATAAAAAACCATTACTACCTAATAGTCCGCAACACACGCACTCCTTTCTATAAAAAGCCATTACTACCTAATAGTCCGCAACACACGCACTCCTTTCTATAAAAAGCCATTACTACCTAATAACTACACCTTTTCAAGATGTAATTGAGAAAACAAAAATTGTAATTAAGAATCGTAAGATGTAATTGAGAAAACAAAAGTTGTAATTAAGAAACGTAAGATGTAATTGAGAAAACGTAAGTTGTAATTAAGAAACATAAGATGTAATTTAGAAAACGAAAATTGTAATTAGGAATCGTAACATGTAATTGAGAAAATGTAAGTTGTAATTAAGAAATAGAAAGATGTAATTGAGAACACGAAAATTTTAATTTAGATATCGCTTTAAAGGAGTAAGTGTAAAATGGCACTTAAAAAAAATGGCGCGTAAAAAAATGGAGCGTATAAAATGACGCACTTAAAAATGACGCAAGATTTGTAGCGTAAATTTAATTTTTTAGGGAAAAATTTATAATTTTTGGGCAAATGAATTTAACATAATAAACACTAAAAACATTTTAGGGAAAAATTTATAATTCAATTAAAAATTATAATTAAAAATTATATAATTAAAAATCACTTCATTGATCATTTAAGCACCAACTTGTACGTCTTCCATATTTAAAATAGTTGCATAATGCGTGGTTGTGTGTTGTACCGCACGTGCACAATCTCCTCCCATTATAGTATTTTTCGCCTCAATTACAATTCGTTTTAAGTACTGCATGCGCTGTTCCGCAATCCCGTCACCTAATACAGGTGGAATGCGAATTGCATTTTTAACGTTACTTTTAATTTTGGACCAGATCGTTTCCACCGGGTTCAACAATGGACTGTAAAGTTCAAACGTAACAACTGAGCTGGTGAATTATCAAACACTCTTTGCAAACGAGCGTGACAAGGAACATTATCTGTTACGACGACCAAATCCTCCAAACGATTCCCGGATGTAACCCACTGGTGAAACATAGCCAACATACACTCGTTACAGGAATCTGCTTTAAATGATCCCCTGCGAGTTTCTATCATGACGACATTTGTAGTTGAAATAGCTGCGATCAAGTGTATGTTTAAACCTTTTGAAGCAGGTACTTTCATAATTGCTCTTTTTCCTTGTCTCGCGCGTCCTTGCGTTTTTCTACAAAAAAGGTTAAAATTTGTTTCATCCAACCAAACTATCTGACGACC